ACTGACACACATGTAGTGCAATGTTTATGCAGTTGGGGTATTAATAATTAATCTGCACACTTTTCTTGTGCTCATCAATATACAAGAATTGATATTATAAAAAAATCTAGGGTCAGGATGAGTCAGGTGGCTTGAGGGAAAATGCCTCAAAGTATAGGCTTAGAAATGCGTTGCATGGCTGTTGATTACCACTAGGCTATAGACCAGGGGTCCTCAAACGCCAGCCTCCCAGATGTTGCTGAACTACAACTCCCATGATTCTCTGGCTGTCTATGTAATTCAAAGAATCAAAGAGTTGTAGTTCAGCAACATCTGGAGGGCCGCAGTATGAGGACCCGTGCTATAGACTGTTTTGTAGGGGGGAGGAGGGATTGTCTGTAGTGAGTCGATCACTGTTACAGAGAAACTCCTCTCTTTTAGGTCACCATGGCAAGCATAATTTTCCTGTTTACCAAAAACAAAAGAAATCGAACTCAGTATTGGCATTTGAACTTTTACTAGATGCAACCAGCGATGATTGGTAAACGTTAAAGATGATGTGGTACTATACTTTACCTTATTATACATTTTTTTGCCCACTTAACCACATTACAACATCTCTGACCCAATGAGATGTCATTCACTGCTCAACACCATACACTTCAAGATCCCCTATATTAAGTAAACAACAACCACTTAAAAAGAAGTCCTATTCTACCGCCTGATGGTGTTGATCAATGACAGCCCTAGAAGAGAGGACAATACAAAGGCCCGTCTTAAAGGGTGCCCAGAATCTTACGGACCAATGCAAAAAAATTTTTTCATTTTTTTTTTTTTTTTGGCAGCCTCTCCAGCCATAAATAAGTCAGGGGAGAAAACTTTTAGAACTGAATCCTGCTATGTGCCCCTTGCTGTCAGTCAGAAAGCTAAGAGCTGTTTCTTATAAACAATACCAAATAGTGAAAGTGTAGGACAAAAGGGATCTTAACCCCCGAAGGACACAACTTCTGGAATAAAAGGGAATCATGACAGAATATTTCCGTCATGTGTCCTTAAGGGGTTAAAGGAGCACTAGCCACCCATTGTAGTGGTCTGGGTGCAGTGTTCCTGCCCCTCTTAGTCCAGCAGTGCTAAGATTGCATCTAGTGGTTGTCTAGTCAGGAAGGCGTAATGTACGTGTGTCGCTTGCCATGCCTACGCATTATGTTCCCTCCCCCCCATCGGCTGACATTGGCGAAGTAGAAGCTCGACCGTAGCGGGAATCAGGTAAGTGTTATTTAACTCTTTCATGGATGGTGTTCGGGAGGGGACAGAGGTTCAGATTTAGGAATGCATATTTGTATTCCTAACACCAAAGTGTTGCTTTAATCCAGGCCTGTCCAACCTGCGGCCCCCCAGATGTTGCTGAACTACAACTCCCATGAGTCTTTCATTGAAACAGATAGCCAGGGAATCATGGGAGTTGTAGTTCAGCAACATCTGGGGGGCCGCAGGTTGGACAGCCCTGCTTTAATCAATTTTCCAGCACGCAAATGTATACATGCAGCTATCACACTCATGCAGGGATACCTTCTTTAACCCACACCTTACAAAAATCATACCAAAAGGTTGCTTAAAGTGACAAACCCCTGGTATATATAAGTATATAAATATGGTTTATATGACCAATCTCTTTATTCAATAGTGCAAGACTATTGTTTTTATATTTTTGGTCAGCTTATATTCTGCTATATCATGTTATAGAAATTATTTGGTAAACAAATCTGTTAAGCTTTTCATGTCTTCAACTTTATTTTCCAGGGTGGATATTACAGCGTGTAATGGGTAGGCATCTTCAAGCAGAGCAGGGCATATTGGCAGCTTCTGAATTATGCCGCACATAATGGGAGTTTTGTTTAGAGCATTGATGGCTAACCTCGACAGCATAAATTGTTTCTGGACTACATTTCCCATGATACTCAGCTAGCTGTTAGAGTATAAAAGCAAGCTGAGCATCATGGGAAACGTAGTCCAGAAACAATTTACGGTGTCAAGGTTAGCCATCACTGGTTTAGTCACACAGAGCATTATAACATAATTATGAGACCAGTCTATTGAAAGGTATCTGTAATGTGAACAAGTTTAGGAGGTGGGTGTGGAAAACGTATCCCCCGACAAATTCTAATAAGGGGATGAGAGGTGTAAGATACCCCAGACATGATTTTATAGCTTTTAAAAATACATATATTTTCTGTTTATGGAATATTTTAAGGTGTTGTGATATCCCTCCTCCCCCATAGCTTTTAAAACAAGAAGATACAAAATATTAGTGAAAAGACCTTGTGACATGTTTTAATTTTTTTGTGTGAGAAATTGCATATATTTTATATCCATTTTAAAAAGAGGTCAGGTAACTTAAATAGGTCTATATCCCATTCTACCATCAGCCCGTCCATTGATAGTGCCTCTTTTTGCCTATAAAAACTGCTAAGTTTATCATAGCCTCCTGAGGCGTGAACTGTCCCCCTCAGATTTTATTTTTGTTCCTAAAGCTGTGATAATGTGATTCATCTATAGAGTAGTATAATATAACTGTATATTGCCTCCATCTTCCTGTGGTTAGTTTATTATTTTATTTTATACAGTTTACCTTTGTTCTGGCCTTGATTTCTTTCAGTCGCTCTTTCTCCCCCTCTCTCGTTCTCTATATGCTGTGTTCTGACATGATTTGATATAATAAGGGCAATTCTTTTCTGAGAGCTGCTTTTCAGCGTGCCCTTAGGTGTTCTAATAATGTAAAACATCTTCTGAGACTGTAACGAGCAGAGCCTGGTGTGACCACAATGTGGATAATCTAATGTGACTGTATTCAGGGCCTGACATCTCAATAAAGCCTGATATCAGTGAATATTACATAGCAATGCCAAACACACAGTTAAAACTGTTCTCAGATGAAAGTACCTACCCTGAGCCCCAGCCTATGGATTCTCTTTCTAGCCCCCACATCTCCCTCAACTTATAGTTGCCCTGGGACAGGTACTACTTGCCATTTTCTCCATTGTGCTTGCCATGCGGGGTCTTCCATGGTGCCTCCATCTTTGCATTTCCATGATGGTGGACCCCAGACTTCCCTGCTTCTGCCTTTACTGGGGTGGGTGTGTGTGAAAACCAAAAAAAGTGACAGACTCTTTAATGATGTAATGCCAGTCAGCGAACATATTGTTCCACCAAGTTAGTAGTTACCCATGTAGCAAGTCATATTAAGATTTGTTTTTAGATAATGAATTTTTTTTCGGATACTGGTACCTATTTTTCAGGACATATTAGACCCTTCTTATAAGCATCTACTTGTGCAAACATGGGGAATATGACTAAATAGTTAGTAGTATCACTCAGGGAAAACCCCTGAGTTTTCTTATTAAAGACTGAAGTTGCTTTTGCAGTTTTCGCCGTTTGTATTAGACTAATTTCTCCTGCATTCAGCTGTTAAAAAGACATGAATGGTAATCAAATTTAGCAAAATGTATCTCTGCCATTTTCGCATGAATCTCATTGTTGAAGTGAGATTCATTTAATACAGCTTAACTGCACTCCAATTGAATTCATCTGAATCTAACTTAAAACATTTTGCCACTAGGATGAGACAGGTTTGGTGGGGGGAGGAGGGTGTAGGTTTGTAACATAATTTGAGTGCTGAGGTGGGTATTGAATGGAAATAAGGAAATTTAGAATTGGGTGGCTTATAGTTGTAGGTGCTATTCCCCTGGTCAATATTGAATAGGTCCAATTAGGTTGCAATTCTGCTGTTTGTGAATAGCTGACTCACTCTTATTACGTCTGTTTGTTAAAAGGCATCTAAACTGTAGCCAGATAGATATACAATTTAATTAAAACAACCAGACTTGCCTTTTTTAAAACAGCCGGACAGTGACAACCAAACTTCAATCGGCTGCTGTTTGCCATTTAGTAACTAGACCCCTAAAAAAACAAAAATCACAAATAGAAAAATGTACCAAAGGCCACATGCTGACAGCTCCTCAAGTTAAGGAGCTAGATTTAAAACGGGAAAACAAAATCCAATCTTGAGACAGCAACACCCATCAATCTCAGACACATACAACTATTATAGGAGTTTGCAGATACTGCATGTTCCTTTATTCATTAGCCATATAATTTTAAACAAAAAGTAACTGTACTACCATTTTTTCTAAATGTGGAACATTCCGTGGGGACATTTTTTTTTTGGTTTCCATGGCGATTGCTTGACTACTAGAACTTTGCCTCAATATTACTCTTCATAAATAACCCCAAGGGATTAATTTATATCCACTCTGTCTGCCTGAATATCTACAGTTGAAAATAGTGGTTTAAAACACACAAGAAGCGTGAAATGTGTGTAGGTCACAAGGTTTTATCCTAATTTTGCAATGTCCTAGTCCTGCGGGGATAATCCTTATTTTACAGCTGTTGATGTAGTTAGCTTTTTGGCTTACCAGTGTCACACTAGCAGCCTTGTAGCTACGGTACTGGCATGGTTCCACTTCTGCCTTCATTCTTCCTGTGATACACAGAGTAGGTGGTGTATCTTATCAAGTTACAATTCAATGCTGGTGGTGCTTAATTTCCTTTATCACATTGAGAAAGGAGAGCGAGGCAACAACATAAAAGAATGAATGGGATCTAATCATTATACTCTGTATCAGCAACAGACCATATCTGCAGCAAACAATGATGTTTTAAAAAAAAACAAAAAAAAACAAACAATCTTTAGGAAGTAAATATGAATTTTTTGGGGGGGGTAACAGAACCACACTCAACACAGATGGGGGGAAAAATATCTTAATTTACATTAAACATTATGTTTTTATATAACAAATATACCAAGCTATACTGGACTATATCAAAGCAATTTAGATGCCTTTTGTTCTATGATTGTTAATTAAAAAGATTATCTCGGATATGTATACTCATTTCTCCCATGGTATTCAGTTTAATGAATGTTATACCTTTGAGAACACAAAGTGTTAATATTTCACAGTAAACAGTAATGGTGTGTCAGATTTCGAATCAAAAGGCACAAGATGCAAGAACGACAGAACATTAAATGCTTTTGGAATCATCTTATATTTAGAAGGAATGTTAAATGTCAATAATACAAACGCTATGAATGCGAGATGTCATTTAACTCTTTAAACACATGAACAGCAGATTTGTGTGAATGAGGGAGAGAGAGGTGGGGGGGGGGTTATGCACTAAACAATAGGTTGCATTGAGTTGAAAATCATCTTTCAAAAATCGGACTAAAGTAAAAGAGTTTGAGAAACTACTGAATTTTTTTTTTCAACTGTGCTATTTTAGTCTGAATTTTGCAAATGGGTTCTCCTCAAAACCTGCTGTTCAGTGCATAGACTCTATTTGACATTCGAATGGTTAATCAATATGCAATACGTGGTTATTTTAGTTGCTAACAGTTATTTATTGAACAATCTAACAACAATATTTCAGTATTCTAATGTCACATTACCTGATACTAGCACTACCCTCTGCTCACTGATGATGTTGTATACAATAAATAACCAATTTAGAACAGCAATGGGGAGTGGAATCAATTATTCTGTAAGTCACTCAAAACAAAATTATTGAATTGTATTTCCTATAGAGATCTAAACAGCATGGATAGATCGTATTGACATATAAACATTCTAGCTTTTAGCTTGTGGGTGCCTTTTTAAAAGGAATTCATGATAAACAAAAATAATCATATGTAATAAAGATGATGATCAACAAATACATTTACCCTACCACAGTATCTCATAGGAAAGACGATGGCTAAAGCTAATCAATATTTGATAAATATTAATATATCAAAGGCAGATACAACAGTCTTGCGCACATTTTAATGCTAGCTCTAGACATATCCAAGTTGGTATTTATGCAAATGTTCAGCATAACAATTAACTGTCCACAGCTTTGATGATTTAAGGATCAACAGTTCATTACTACACCAATTATTCTGATTATATATTTTTTTTGGTTAATTTATTAAAGTCAGTGCAGGAATATGCACATAATCTGCAAGTAAACAACATAATAAGACATTAATTTCCATGACAAGAATTCAAATTGATGTTTGATGAAAATTTTACATACAGTTCACTATCATCTAAACAACAATGTTACACTTTGAATGATTATGAACGAAACAATGTGGTCAAGAATATTGATTGATTGGTCTTTATTTTACCATTGTTTAGTAAATCGTTGGCTATCAATACATATTAGCCACTGCTAATGATTAGCCTGATACATAAAATTCACTTTGCATAGCAAAGTCAGATTCATTTTTTTTTTTTTTTATCCATCTATACCTAATAAAATAATAAGAAAATATACTTTAGGAAAACTGGACAGATATATAAATAAAATAGATAAGGTTTTCCTATTTCTCATTGGTTTATTTCTTGTTTTGATATATTTATATATATATATTTATATGAATTATTAAACACATAAAATTTTAAATCTTGACAGCGTGGTTCGGTGCTTGGGGTAATATGGATATTTTGGATGCACATGGCCATATTTATCAGAGCAAAACTGAGTAAAAGTGCAAAATCTTGAATACAGTTGGAAAATTTTGTCCTGCCAAGTAAAGCTTAGATGTGGTTATGTATAAAGGACAAATCTGAAGTCCAGTTCTAAATGTGGAGAAACAAGCCTCATCAGAGCTCTAGGTTTCCATTGTAAAACTCTCCATTTTTAGAACTTTGCTCCAAAATGTCTCTCCATACCTTACCCACTTTTTTAGAACTTACTCTTAACTCCATTTGCGACTAGAGAAAGCAAACATTTCACTGGTAAGCAAATATTCTCATTTCATTTCCCTTGGCCATTGAAAGAGTTAAGTACACAGTGAGCTTCCTATGTTTTATACGTGTGCCTTTTCATTCTGTCAATATAGACAGCTGTTTGTCTTGTATTAAAGCCAGAAAACAGAGGTTATGGGGTCTTGGTCCAGTGCAGTGTCAATTAATACAAGATAGGGACTTTACAATTTCCAGAGATGCAGAATAAAAATGGTTCTTCCTATAACGGAAGATGGTTTGTGTAGAAAACACAGATCGGCAGAGAATACAGGTTTCCATGATAAAAGGGTATATTCCTGAATTAAATGTAAAGTTTGTGTGCTTGTAGCTAGTGAATATAGTACATTCGTTTTCCCTTTGATAAATTAGTGTTTAATGAATAAAGGCATTTTTTTGTTATATACGTATACTTGACAGTTACTGTATACTTGAGTTACTGTTTCCTTAAATATTCCAAGTTCAAAGATCGACTGTAGCTGAAAAGGTTCCCTAGACTGATGCAATGAAGGGACCATCAGAAAAAACAGAACTGACTGAATCTGAGTCGGACTTGGACCTGCTGCTAGTCTTTAAAATGCTTTCAGCTGTAAGATTATCGCTGGGGATCAGTCTTACTTTTCCATTTTGACCTGAATCTGTTTCTTTTACAGGTTCCAGAAACACGACCCTTTTGCCAGTGCTACATTTCCTTTCTTCTTGTGGATCATGCGATGGAGTGGCACTTAAAATGGATGAGTGGACACTGCTCTGGTTGGGTTTCCTTTTCTGTTTCTTAGACTTGCACCAACATCTGCAGGGTGTGAGGTAAAGATAAAGAAGCACTAAGACTATACTAACTACACAAGCAGCAAGTGTAGTGAAAGCGGTATTAAATGCTTCATGGGCGTGAGATCTGCTATTGGTCATATTGCTGACAGTGATTCGAATGTCTATGGTTTCATTGAGTGACCTCTTCTCATTAATTGCAATGCATGAATAAACTCCAGAATCCCCAATTTGGGCATCCTCAATTTCTAGGCTCCCATTGTAAAAAACGCGAAAATGGCCATTCTTGTAGTCAGGTTTCAGGGTTTGTTCTTCTGGGTTGACCCAGACAAACTGTGTGCTTGTGTCTATGATTTTGCTGTCGCAGTGTACTATGAGCCTTTCACCAATCTGAACCTCATATAAAAGTCCAAATGCATGGAAAGAGCCATTGATAGCACTTTCAGAACAATTCAGGAAGCTCTCTTGGATAAGGTGCAGTCTGGAGTTGGTCTTTCCATCTAACGTTAAACATATATAGTAATTTTTAAAATCCACCACTGGGCTAAAGTGTCTATGGTACCAAAAGTTTAACATGGAATTTAAAGAACAGTCACAGGAGAAGGGGTTTTCATGTAGGTAAATCCCACTAAGTTGCCTTGCTGGAATTAGGCTGATTTGTTGGACAGGCACTGTTTGCAAGTTATTGTGAGAAAGGTCTAGTAACACAAGTTCTGTCAGTTTGCTTCGGCCAATGTAGAGGTCCAGAGGAAAATGTGACAATGAATTGCGACTCAAATACAGTTTCTGTAGTTTATGTAGCCCGCCAAAGGAACCTGCATCAATATGCGTTAACTGATTGTTGTAAAGCAAAAGAACCTCTAACATTTTAAGTTCCTGAAAAACTGGATTGCTCAGTGATTTCAGATGGTTAGATGATAAGTCAAGGTACCTTACATTTGGTATAGTAGAGAAGCTCCCACTGGATATGCTGCTTACAGCATTATTATTTAAGATTAAAGTGTGCAATTTATCTAGCAAGACTGGAAACCAGTCTGGGTCTAAAAACCCAATTTTATTGTAGCCTAAATCCAGTTTTCTGATAAATTTAAATATGGTCCTGGGTACCATAGACAGGTTCTTGTTTGTACAGCTCACAATGTCACTGGCACAGATGCAAGCTGGAGGACACGCCCCAGAAGCTCCACCAAAGATGCTCAGGAACAGAAGGAGAACATACAAAAAGGAATTGCAGTTGGTTTGGAGAAATGCAAGTTTCGTAGGCAATGATCGATAGCAGAGATACATTATGTCTTTCTCTTAACCTCACTCCAGTACTGGTTGCATCAAATAGCACTTTTACTTTGCCCCGCTGATTCTTTTTTAAGGGGAATTGCAGAGACGAGATAATGAATCTTTCACAATTATTTGTGCATTGCTCGGCATTCAAACTATGTCACTGAAAAATAAACAGAAGGGACTTTAGTTGTGGCAACTGATTCTGGCAGCATATCTCACTACCAGATACAACATTGCTAGCTTATCTCAAACACTCTGCTTGTTTAATGGCTCGATATAACAAAAGAACAGTTTTATTGCCTACTGAAATAAAGAAAAATAAAAAAAGCAGCAAGATTAAAAAACAAAACAAAATCAAATGACTTTGAACCAATGTTAAGAATACTTAAAATCTAAGCACAGACTTATTCAACAAGTTAAATAAAAAAAATAAAAATTAAACAAAAAGGAAATCAAAAACATGTCTGCGTAAAAGGCAAGTTAACACTGATTGCAGAACAATTGATACACATCAGATTTTATAACAAAAAAACAAAAGTACAAAATAAAACAGTGAGATGCACAAAAGATAGTATTACCTGAATCAAGAGGATATTTCATAGGTGTCTTGTCTAATCGATGTATGCATCTGGATTAAATAACAAGAGTGTGTCTTTGCTTTGTCTTCAAGCCTTGCTTGTTGATGATTGTTCAACGTACACACACAGATGAACAGGTTTGACAACCCTACTAAAGCTCTCACAATTTCCTTACCTTAAAATGTGCACTTCTGATCTGCTTTTGGTATGGTCTTTTTATCACTCCCGAAAAGTCCAGTTTGGAATGTCTTTGATAACGTCACTGTATGGGATTTGCTTAAAACTGCAAGATTAAAAAAAAATAAAAAAAATTGACTGCCTTATTCGGAATCTTCCTGTCTGATCACTGGGCTCTGTACACTCAGTACACGATCTACAGAATGTATTATGAGCTCTCCAGCATGCCCTGCCTATGTTTACCTGTGCTCTGTGATTGGCTGCAGGCAGCACAGGGAAAAAGCAAACTGACGGATGATCAGGGCATCAAGAGCACAGATGCTACGTCTACAGGCTTTGGTGCCCATCCCCCATGTCATCTGTATCCCCTACTAAACGATGATTTTGCACTCACCCTCTGCTTTCAGCACGCTTCTCATTGTCTATTCGTTTTCACTTTAAATGTTTGCATATCTTAAACACATTCAGAATCTGCCCTCGGGAAGTCTTGTTCAGACTTCAGTTCTGCCAGGCGTGAAGATGTCAGGTTACAGTCTAAAGCCCACAGATTATTACAGATGTGTTACCACCCAGTAACAAGTCCCTGCTCCATGTACCTACCTGAAATGGAAAGGCAGATTCATAATTTAACATGCGTTAGACATTGGAGTAGCAGTGTTGGACACGTAGCTTTTTTTTAAATTTAATGAAGGGAGATTCCTGGATAATGACAGGCAACTGATTTAGTCTTTTTCTACGATGGTTCACAGGGGAGATAGACAGACAGATGGATGGACAGATAGATAGATAGATAGATAAGGCTTTCCATTTTAGGGTGTTGTTATTCCACCTAAGCTGTTGATATTTGACAAAGTTTCTGTCTGTAACTCCAGACCCGGGTGCAAAAACTGTGCTGCCCCCCCCCATACATCTTCCCCCCACCCCTTATGTCCCCGCACTCCCACACATGCAGACACACACACATACATACACACATACAAACACACACACACATACATATACACACACACACAGACCCATACATACAGACACACACATACACACAGACACATACATATAGACACACACACATACACACAAAGACACATACATACAGAGATACATACACACAGACACACACACATACAGAAACATACATACAGAAACACATACACTAACACAAACACACACACATGCAAAATGTTTAAGTCACCCTCCTGTTATGTTTAAGTCACAAAATGTTTAAGTCACCCTCCTACCTTTTAGATGCAGCAGGGTGACTTTCTCTCGTGTCAAGTGGCTCAGACTGATCGGAGTCAGAGATCCCACTCTGCATATAGCCTGCCTGTTATCATCGGCACGAGTATATATATTTCACAGTCTGCCTGGGTATAATGGCAGTCACACTACAGTACAGCTGACTGTGTGCAACAGCCACCGCTAATTCAGCTTGGGAGAGAGTATCAATAAAATGATGACAGTTGTGGGGAGCATCAGCCACTCCGGAATGTAAATCCCACTAATCCTGGACATTTAGTAACTGTTCTCTCTGATGTTAAGGTCCCAGCAGTTTGTGGTGTCAAACTGTGCAATATTGTACATTCATTACAGCGAATAATGAACAGATACCATTACCAACTGCAAGAATGGATGAAGACAGACAGACCGACATCCTAAACCAGGGGTGCCCAAAAGCAGGATCCTCAGATGTTGTAGAACTACACCTCCCATGATGCTTTTTATGCCTTTAGAATATCTTTAGAATGAGAGCATCATGAAAGGTGTAGTTTTAAAACATCTGTGGATCTATCTTTTGGGCACCCCATCTAGTTTTGCAGAAGTGTTCTGCAAGCAATCTTTGTCTTAATAAATCATTGGATGCGGTAACCATTTACCTGTGTTTTCAGTATACAGCGCTCTAATAAGGGTAGGGAGCTGTGATGTGTACATGTGTATTCACGACACAATGCTTGAAAGTATGAGAGACTGACTTGCAAGCAGGTATGAGCAGGTAATGGGCTCTCAGGTCATGACGTACAAATACTTGGACAGCTGAATGGAGAACCTAGACTTCCTCAAATAAATGTCAGAGGAGGAAGGGTGGAGCTTTAGCATTATGCAGCAAGATATATTCATGCCCTATAAGTTGAAATTGGAAAGAGCCTTTAGAAAGATATATATTTTATTTATTTAATGATATGTTAATATGTGAATTTGGAATTACAAAGAAGTTAATTAGTTTAAAGAATAGCAAGCCAACTGAATATTTACTTAGACAGCATGCTTTGTAAAATGTTGCAAAACCAAATTGTTTGAAATAACATTTAACAAAAATACAAAGCATTGTTTAACCCCTTAAGGACAAAGGACGTACTAGGCACGTCCAACAAAAAATGGTCCTTAACTACCGGTCCCCGCCGACGATTGGCGTACCTCCCGGTCTGGGGGGACTGCCTGACAGCCCAGACAGTCCCTCCTCGGTAAATCAGGCCCCCACGGGCCATGTGATCGGTCACATGGCTGCAATAGGCTTCCATAGTGCTGCGTGCAGGGGGACTGCCTGAACTGACAGTCTCCCTGCATCTGTAAAATCAAAAAAATATATGTTAATAAATAAATTTAAATATATATACATATTATTATTATTATGATATTTATAGAACGCCGTCAAATTCCACAGCGCTTTACAATGGGTGGACGAACAGACATGTATTTGTAACCAGACAAGTTGGACACACAGGAACAGAGGGGTTGAGGGCCCTGCTCAATGAGCTTACATGCTAGAGGGAGTGGGGTAAAATGACACAAAAAGGTAAGGATAGTATTAGACTAATAACAGTTGCAGAAGAGGAATCAGTCAGGAGCTATTAACAGTTTAATTGATACGCTTTTATGAAGAAGTGGGTTTTTAACTATTTTTTGAAGGGGTGGAGACTGGGTGAGCATCTAACGGAGGAGGGAAGCGAGTTCCACAGGAACGGTGCAGCCCTCGAGAAATCTTGAAGGCGAGCATCAGAGGTGGGAGTACGGACAGAAGATAGACGTAATATAGACATATATATATATATATATACATACCATATATACTCGAGTATAAGACGAGTTTTTCAGCCCATTTTTTGTGCTGAAAACCCCCCACTCGTCTTATGCTCAAGTCAATGTCTGTATTATGGCAACTTACATTGCCATAATACAGACCAGGACCGCCAGGCTCATTACAAGCCCGGCGGTCCTGTTGAGGGCTGGCAGCGAGCTGTTACTTTCCTGCAGCTCCTGTCAGCTCCCTTCTCCTGCATTCCGGTCAGCTCCACTGTAAGTCTCGCAAGACTTGTGTGCGTGTGTGTTAGTGTTAGAGTATGTGTGTGTTAGTGTTAGAGTGTGTGTTAGAGAGAGAGTGTGTGTGTTAAAGTGTGTGTGTGTTAGTGTTAGAGTGTGTGTGTGTTAGAGAGTATGTGTGTTAGAGTGTGTGTGTGTTAGTGTTAGAGTGTGTGTGTGTTAGTGTGTGTGTTAGTGTTAGAGTGTGTGTGTTAGAGAGTGTGTGTTAGAGTATGTGTGTGTTAGTGTTAGAGTGTGTGTGTTAGAGTGTGTGTGTGTTAGAGTGTATGTGTGTTAGTGTTAGAGTGTGTGTGTGTTAGAGTGTGTGTTAGTTAGTGTGTGTGTGCTAGTGTTAGAGTGTGTGTGTGTTAGAGTGTGTGTGTGTGTGTGTGTGTGTTAGTGTGTGTGTGTTAGGTGTGTGTGAGTTAGTGTGTGTGTGTTAGTGTTAGGTGTGTGTGTGTGTGTTAGAGTGTATGTGTGTTGAGTGTTAGAGTGTGTGTGTTAGGTGTGTGTTAGTTAGTGTGTGTGTGTGTTAGTGTTAGAGTATGTGTGTGTTAGAGTGTGTGTGTGTTAGTGTTAGAGTGTGTGTGTTAGAGTGTGTGTGAGTTAGTGTGTGTGTGTTAGTGTTAGAGTGTGTGTGTTAGTGTTAGTTTTTGTGTCAGTGTGTGTGTTAGTTTGTGTGTGTCAGTGAGTGTGTTACTGTGTGTGTGTGTGTTAGTGAGTCTGTTTGGTGTCTGTTAGTGAATGTGTGTTTTGTAAATGAGTGTGTATGTGTCTGTCATTGAGTGTGTATGTATGTCTGTCACTGAGTGTGTGTCTGTCAGTAAATGTGTGTGTCTGTTAGCTAGTGTGTATGTGTCTGTTCGTGAGAGTGTGTGTCTGTTAGCTAGTGTGTATGCGTCTGTTCGTGAGAGTGTGTGTCTTCAGCACTTACCTTTCTCCAGCGACGGACTCCCTTGGCGCTGGGGATCCCTCCACTCCGATCCGCCTCTCAGCACCGGATGCGCATGCATGGCAAGAGCACGCGTATTCAAACCGCCCATAGGAAAGCATTACTCAATGCTTTCCTATGGACGTCCAGCGTCTTCTCACTGTGATTTTCACAGTGAGAATCGCGGAAGCTCCTCTAGCGGCTGTCAATGAGACAGCCACTAGAGGCTGGATTAACCCTCAGTGAAACATAGCAGTTTCTCTGAAACTGCTATGTTTTCAGCTGCAGGGTTAAAACTAGAAGGACCTGGCACCCAGACCACTTCATTGAGCTGATGTGATCTGGGTGTCTGTAGTGGTCCTTTAAGTGTATGTGTATCTGCATGCACTGGCACGGGCGACCAGGTGCCCACCGCCATGTTGGCCCACACAAAGTAAGCGTGCAGTGGGGGGGGGCCACGGATCAGTTTTCGCACGGGGGCCCCATGGGTTGTGTGTACGCCACTGTGGTATGGTATGGGTAATGCAAAGGTAAAGTTGCAAACAACATATATATTATATGCATACATACATACATACATACATATGCAATACATAGGTAGACACATATATGATAATATACATGTAAAGGATTATAGAATCCTATATATGTGGGGAAAATGTCTATGACATTGTTTTCTTATCTGTAACATTGTTATTTGTTAAATTACTATTTTAAAAGCCCAACCAAAATGTTAATTTTATTTCAAATAACTCCTTTACACTGGCATGTATACACGACTGCCAGGCTATACAACCATACCCAGCAAGCGTGTATAAATGATTATCAATATTTGCAAATTATGCCATAACTACAGTCAAAGAGCTCACAATGCAGTGGCATAGGGAGGTGTGACAATGCAAGCCTCTGAAGACGAATATAGAGATTAACTGTGTCCAATGCTTAAAGCCCGCCCTTCATTATATCTACAGCTCTTTATACACACACAAGTCAACCACTATTTTTTTTTACTAATGGTTAGTGGGGACCTCATTTTTGAGTTTTGCCTAAGGCCTCGCAAAGTCTAGAGCAGCCCCTGTAAGGAGTGCCAAAGATTGCCCAACCAATTACAGCTTATTCAGTGTCAGAAAGGACGGCACCTGCCTTGATACGCTTTTTTGCGGAACTTACAGTATCCATAAAAGGAACAAAATTTTAGA